ACCTCCTCCAATAGTAAGAGCTTGGTGCCATAGCTTCATTCGTCAAAAATGGTCTTTGAGCTTTGCGGATAGATACTACCAATACTTACTGTGTCTAGATCACTATCATCGTCCTCTTCCGTCGAAACCTTGTCCCCAACATATTAACTATTTGATGTAATGCAATGGAGAAAAAAAGAGATTGAAAGTTTTTCATGCTTGAATATGTTTTACATGTTATGTTATGTATTTTAATTTGAGATAATAGCCACTTGTGCTTCTTTTCTTTTCTTTTTTTTTTTTCTTTTTTGCCCTGCACTTTTAAAACAATTGGATTAAGACTTTGGAGCTGTTTAATGAGTATATGGATGACTTCATCAGATGATGGGGAGTAATAGTAGCTTCTTCTGGCTCTATAGGAGTAGGGGATTCATTTAATGAGAAATTCAGGCAGTGTTACAAGGAGCTGAATTTACCAAAGAACTGAATTGTGAACAGCTCTTAATTGAAGGTGATTCCGAGCTGTTGATCCAGTGGTTAAAAGAGCTAGAAACGGCAGCCTGGTCTTATAGGGGGGTTTTACAAAGATTCAGATGGCTAACTACAAACATGTCTGCCATTTCCAATGGGAAAGAAGATCTGCAAATGGGTTAGCAGACTCACTAGCTAAACAAGGGGTGCATAGGAATCAGATGTTTTGGGCTAAGATGTAATTCTTTGTTTTGATCTGAGGCTGTATCTCATGCCTCTTGTTGGGAACCTTCTCTGTATATCTCTTATAATTCTATTAATAAAACTTCTCATTTTTCTTAGAAAACAGTAGCTTCTTCTACCATGGAATCAGATGTGCAGTTAATGTGGGCTCCCCTAGCGACAACTGGATTAAATTAAATTTTGATGGAAGCTCTTGTGGAAACCTGGTCCCTCGGGTATAGGGGGAGTTTTCAGACAGCAAAGGAGTGTTAATGACACTATTTTGACCCAATGTTTTAAAATGTGGGGACATGGCAGGAGGCATTCCACTATTTGGAGGCATAAGGCGTAGTTTAGAACGTAAGAGGTATATACCTCCTTAAGAGGAGGGGGACGACGAGGAAGGAGCGGGGAGAAAAGAGGAAGAAAGATATTTGGTATATTATATAATAATGTGTTTTATAAGGCATGGGAGGTGTGCCTCCAGGCAAGGTGCTCCCAAAACGCCCTGAGGCATATGCCAGAGGCACTGACACCTTTGAGGTGTACGCCTCATGCACTTTTTTCATGAGGCGTGCTAGAGGTGTATGCCTCATCCACCTCATGCACGCCTCATATAAAAAGACCGAAAAAAAAAGAAAAAACAAAAAAAATGAAAGGAAAGGAAAAGAAAAGAAAGGGAAGGGAAAGAAAAATAAAGAGAAGAAAAAAAGGAAAGGGAAGGGAAGAAAAGATAAGGGGAAAGAAAGTGGTCGACAAGACCCCCCTTTCATCTAGTGCTATGAATCTTTATTCTTCTTAATATAAAATTTTAAAAGTAAAGAAAAAATGAGATCCCCCTTCCTCTTCTTCCTCCTGACCCCCTCCTCGTAAGGAGGCTTAGGCCATCTTGTGTTCTGAACTACGCCTCACGCCTCTAGGTAGTGGAATGCCTCGCATCATGCCTCCGCATTTTAAAACATTGATAATAATATACATTTGTATTTAATTTGTCAAGTTATTTTTTTAATAGCGCATACTAAAGACAAAAAGGTCATCTTTCGACTTTTGACCGAAGAGAGACTGAGAGAATTAGTAGCGTTCGCGTAAATAGAAGGTGGAAGAAGACTACTGAACCGAATCATCTAAAAGCCTAAAAGTTATGTCCATCCTTTCCTTTTAAGAAGATCTGGTATAGCCACATCCCTTCAAGAGTTTGTTTCTTTGTCTGGGAAGCTTGTCTCCAGAAATTAAATACTTGCAATCTCTTGCAGAAAAAGTTTTTGGGAAGACTGTCCATCTCTCCTCATGTTTGCATTTTATGCTTCAGTGATAGTGAATCAGCAGATTACATTTTTCTTCATTGCAAGTTCACCCAAAAGATATGGTTCCATTTATTGAAAATGGCAGGTTACAGCTGGGTTATACCAAAGCACATTATGGACTTTCTGCATCAATGGCAAGGAACAGGTTTAAGTAAATGGGGTAAAGTTTATTGGCAATCAGTGCTACATGCAGTGTTCTGGGGAGTTTGGGATGAAAGAAACAAATGCTTCTTTGACAACAAATTCAGGCCCCTGGAGGAGTTAATTTCAAACATTACTTGCCTTTGCAACCTCTGGACGGTGAACTCAGATCTGTTCAAAGGACTCTCAGTCAATGATCTCAATAGAGATGCTTACCCCTTTCTGTTTCTCCCTCACCTCCATCAAACATCCTTGAGACATCCCGACCCCATCAGTGGAGTGGTGACCCTAAACTTCGATGGAAGTGCCTTAGGTAACCCTGGCTTAGCTGGTATTTGAGGCACATAAGGGATGAAAGGGACAACATTTGTTGGACTTTCAGCGGTCCAATTGGTTTGGCTGATTCCACAAAGGCTGAAGTGATGGCTGCTCTCACAGGAATCAGAATAATAAAAAATTTGGGAATTCAGAATTTAATCATTGCAGGTGATTCAGTAAATACTATAAAATGGTTAAGAGACAAAGAGGGGGGATCTTGGAGATTGAGTCACTATTTGGCAGAGGCTAGGGACTCTTTGGACTGTTTAAATGTAAAATTAGTTTGGATTCCTAGGGAACACAATCATACAGCAGATGGCTTAGCCAAATGTGGTGTGTATTTGGAGCATTTGTATAGCGACAAGCTTCCTCCTTTGTAATTTGTAGGGGTTCTTCCCCTGCTTTGTACATCTTCTCATGTACCTCTTCTTCCTTTAATGAATCCTGGTTAAATTTTCTCAAAAAAAAAAAAATTTTCCCAACTGTTTGTTTGCACAAAAAACAGGGTCTCCACCCTGTTCTTATTTTTCTTTTTTTTTTTCCTCTGTTTTGACCCCCAAAACAGGGGCTCTGCCCCATTTTAGATCTACATTATTCCCTGCTTTTTTTTTTAATGTCAAATCACCCCATTGTTCTTCTACGTTTTTTCTTGCTGTTTTTAGCACCAAAATAGGGTCTCCACCCCATATTTTTTGTAAATTATTTATATTGATTACTGTTTTGTTTGCATGTAAACATAATTCATCAAAACAACACCCTTCTTCCTCCTATGTTACAATTTATAAGGCTCCTTTGGAAAACCTTTTTTTATGATGATTGGTGAGGCTTCTGCACAGAATTTGGTTTGATTGCCTAGGTTTATATTTCTTACATTCCTCTCTTTTCTTTCTAGTTTTGTTTTTTGTTTCTGAACACAGACCTAATGTTTGCTCTTCCATCGGTTGCTCTTTCTTTTCTTCCTCTTCCATTAGTTGAATCTCAATACATTTTGCAATACCATTTTGAAGGCATCATAATAATAAGCATCATCCATGCCTTATCCCAACTATATGGGGTTGGCTGCATGAATCCTGTTTCACTAATCCATTCTATTTAAAGTCATATTCACTGTTAAATTATTAGTGCTTAAATATTATAAACTAAATTTGATAAACCATTTTACCATTTATCCACTGGTGTGAATCTTATATTTCTTTGATTGAAAGATTTCAAAAATATTCTTTCCAAAAATCAAAAGTATCCATTCACAATGACAAAATCTTTGTCCATTTTCCAAAATGATCCAACATGACCAGATATATCCTTCAATTGAGCCTCATTGTTTGGCTATGTCAAAGACAAAAAGACCTAGACAAGCTTTAGTAACATCTAGTCAAAGGATTTTTTTTTGATATTTGGAAATCCTATAAATCATAATGTGCAAGGGTAACCCAAAGAGGTGTCCTATTCAGCATCTGTCCATAGATACCTAGATACATACTGAGTAAACTACTCAAGTGATATAGACATATTGCCCTTGTACTCAAGATGATACCTACATTCATGTCAATCTGCTTATGTTAGCCATCCAAACTGACATTTGAGGATATATTTGGAACTACATACTGGTAATGTCATGTCCCATGCTAGTGGTTCTAAACCAATAGCCTAACATCATCTTAAAAATATAGTCCATGGACATTTCATAGAATTTGTACCCATTACTGAAATCATTATCATCCAAGCCTTATCCCAACCCATTGGGGTCAGCTACATGAATCCTATTTCACCAGTCCATTCTGTTTAATGCCATATCCATTGTTAAATATATTGGCACTTAAATCATTTCTTACTACTACTACTTCTGTCCTTTACCCCTTGCCCTTAAACCCGCATCATGTAACAAAAATCACTTTACTCTAAGAATTGAATAGTAATCTACAAGAGATTTTCTCTCACAAAAATGAGCTATCTCTTGACATAATTGGTATATATGAGCAATGTTCTTTTGTTGAGGGAACTCTACTACTGCTTCCGATATCTGTTTTGTAGTATTGAAAATTGAAAAAGAAAAGACCTCTACTGATGTGTGGGAGCATTAGAGTGGGGAAGCCAAGGTATCACTATAGCTTTCTTAGAAACCACTTCTCATACTAGGGATTATCCACATTGGGTTCTTCAATTATCCCCATTAGGATATGCTTGTTTACGTTTGCCTAAAACTGAGCAGATTGGGACTGTCCAAGATAAATTATCCCAATTTTTTTTTAGTTTCAATTTTCCTTTTGCTGTTGAGCCTACTTAACTTTTGTTTCAAAACAAATTCTATTATAAAGAAGCATATAATATGGAGTTGATCATATTATGACACTCCAAATTTCTCTACTTAAATCTCCTATTTTTTACATCATTATTAGCTATGATTACTGGGGTTTCCCCATAAGAGGAATGCTATCCATTTATGAAGATTTTTATTCTACTTGCTACAGATGGCTTAAGTGACTGGGCCATTTGTAACAGGTAAAATAAGAATCTCACCTTGTGGCTATAGGTTCTCTTGGGCTCTTACCCATGTCTGCTGTGCAGGAAGAATCTCAACTTGCCAAGATCACTCGTGATAGTTCAAAGATAACTGTGGAACAAGTTCATGGTCTCATGTCACAGGTTAGATTGCTGTTTTATTCTAGATGGTTAACCCTGTGCTTAGTGGGGGCTTCTCAATCTACGTTTTATCCTTTTTTTACTCAGGTTATCAAGGACATCCTTTTCAACTCCGTGCGTCAGTCAAACAGATCTCGTGTGGTGGCAACAGAGCAATCAAGTCCTGAGCCCATGGTTGAAACCTGATATCAAGGACATACTTTTCTGCTACTCCTGCACGCTGTGAGATAATCTGAATACTTGCGGAGGCATAATCATTTGCTTTAATGTAAATCCCATTTAGATAACATGCAACATCGAATTAAATTGTGATATTGAGGATCCATTTTATTAGCGCTTCAAATACCTTCAGTTTCCCAGAAGTAATCATGTGGATCCTGTAATTTCTGTTTTGTACTTTTTTCTCCAATTTCAGTAAGAACTCCGGTCATACAAATTGTTATTTTGGTGATGGGGTTGTTTTTAGCAACGCTCTAAATATTGGGATTGTTAAGGGTTTTGAGAAGGCAATTTTGAGAGACTGTAAGTAGCAATTTTAAGACACCTATCATGATACTTTGGACACATGGATAAGGAGGAATTATCAAAGGATGCACATGAATGCATTACTTTTTTTTGTTTTTTTGATCAAAAGAAGGGAGCTAAAAATTTGGACCATTGGGATGCACATGAATGCATTTTAGGGGTGCTCATGAAAAATAAAAAATTTGATCGAAGCTGAGAAACTGAAGAAATCAAATTGATAAAATGTGGATAATCAAGCCAATCGGTTCAATTTCAGTGGTATTTTTCTAAAAAATCGGTTTTTTGTTTGGTTTTGGTTAACCTAGAAGAAAGTTCAACGATTAATTGAATCGACATCTATCTATCTATCTATCTATCTATCTATCTATCTATCTATCTATATATATTTAAAAAAATAGCAGGGACTCATGCCATGCATGGGATTTGTTGAGGGAAAATGAAATAATTAGTACAATGTTGTTTAAAATAACTAGTTTTTATTTTATTAATTTGTTACAAAAATAATTTGGTAATTCAGTAATTTGGATTATATCAATAATGAATGGTCCAAAATCCTTACTTCTATTCAAGAAAGTTGGGGGCACTAGAATGTTCATTGAGAGGTAACCCTAACTTTCTTAAATAGAAGAGACAAGGATTTGAGACTGTTTATTTTTTGTCAACTTTTGGATGGCTGATAAAGAGAATTAGATGACACTTGAAGGGCATTTATATCTTTTCAAATGCCACTTAATGGCTGGTTAACGGACTGTTTAACGGTAGGTACTGGATTGGCACGTTTTGAAAGTTTGGGTATTGAATTGTCGCATTTTAAAGTCCAATGACCAAAGTATAGGGTATTAATCGAGAATTTTCCCATAAATTAATCTAAACTCAAGCTAAAGGTTTAAGACTTCAAGTTGCACCTTTAAGAGCAATGTGACTTTTGTAGTTGAATTGAATCAAACCAATTGCATCCCATGCATTCATTATTTTTGTTTTTTAACTATTTTTAGATAAAATTGTAAATATAGAAGTGGAAAGTGCTATGGGGGATGGGTTAGTACCATTGTGTAACCCAATGAACCAAAAAAATAAAAGATCTTGGGCCAAATTTTGATGGTGTATTTGACAATTTTTAAGGTTGCCTAGCTTAGCCCAGCACACACTCAAAGTGTAATAATATTTGTCTAGGCTTGGGATAGGGACAAACTTGCCTATGTTAATTATAAAACTATAATTTTTTTATAAATTGATTTTTAATTTAATTTTGATCTATTACAAAAAATATATAAAAAATTCTATCTATATATTAATATAAAATTTGTTATTTACATGTTATATTATAATATTTACCATATATGTAACTTCCAACTTTACAAATTGAGTTAAGGGTTGTTTAGCTTGGGCCCTACCCTCTAGGGTGTCAGTGGAGTCTGAAAGTTCGATACGCGGCTTGAATCCAAATTTGGTTATCCAAGACTTGGATGTTAGAACTTGCATCCAATTAATAATCAGATTTAACCCCATCTGATCCAATTAAAGTCCCAGTCCAATAAAAGATTTTTATTTTATGTATATATATAGTATAATTATGTATACATATGGATATTATGTATAATTATATAAAGTTTATAATTGATAAATTTAATATTTTATATTTATATACATCTATTATACATATATAGTTTAAAGAATTAGTTTTTTTAACTTTTTAATTTTTTGGTCTTTTTAAATACAAAAAGATGGTTGTGGATTAAATCCGAATCCAATCTGAATTCAACCTGTTTATAGTCCTATTGCCCATATTATGTGTGGGCTTGGTGCAAATTCAAGCTTAATCTAGCTTAGAAGAAAACAGTTGCTTGAACCAAAAAATTTGTAGGTCTATCCAGGCTGGGGCTAAGTTATAAATGCCCATCTCTAAGTAGAATAAGTCTTATGACATTTTTAATTGGGCCATTATTAGTTTTATTATTTTGATAATTTTTATATGGAATGCAAATGGTTTGTTTTGCTACTTTTAATATTTTTGTACGTTTTATTATTAATTTTTAATTTATGAAATAATATTTTTTATTAATTTCTTAATTTTTGATAGTTGCTAGATAAAAATTTACTAAATTTTAATATTTTATTAACTTTAGATTTTTTTATCAAATTTAGGTATTAAGTTTCAAATTATAATTTTATAATAATTAGCCAATTAAATAGAATTTGACTATGAAACAAATAAAATGAATTTGGATGAGAGTAAGATTCTCTCTCTTTAGAATAGAATAGGTTAATAATGGATGAGGCCTATAGAAATAAATGGAACCCTCTCTTTTCTCTCTCTCTCTCTCTCATTATTTTTAGGTGATTTAACTATTTATGATATTTTTATTAACTAATTTTTAAATTGTTATTTGTTTAAAGACTAGCTAGGTTGAGTCCACACCAGCCTTGAAGTATTTAGGGCCAAGCTTGGCTGTAAAATTTGTGGGCTTGATGCCAGTCCAGGCCTAGGCTGGACTGAAATGATCACCTCTAAGCAAATTGCTTTTGGTTTATTAGAATAATGAGGACAGTCAACCAATTTTAGACAATTTAACGGAGTAATTTAGATGACAGAGAGTTATTGGAATGATTAACGAGGAGAGTTATTTTATTTAATTTAAAAATTAAAAATTCAAAACAAAACCACAAAATAGATAAATGATAGGGGAGAAAGGAGAGGCCTACTGACATGATAGGCCTAGTTTTCATATATAGATATAGATTATTAATATATGTTTTATTAATCATAACAATAGAGATAGAGGTGTTCAGTTGTCTACTTTATCTTCAATCGTTGTGCATCGAGACACATTTTTTTTTTGGTTTTCAATTCAAGGTCCTGTTGTTGGTTAATTTTTTGTCTATTTATGCATATTTTTATATTTTTTCGTGTTTTTAAATAAATTATGTAGATAGTAATTTAGTTTTGCATACTTTTACATTTTTAATATTCCAAATTCTTTGACTTCAATTTGTTTGGCTGTAGGCATAAGCCAACAATCCCATTTTGTACTAAATGTGTAGTTTTTTTTTTTTTTTTGAAATACAAAGGCCCATAATATTAAGATGGTTTATAGGTGGCAAATTTGAGAATAATCTCAACTTGGAATATGTTGGAGGGAGAATAAAGCTCATAGATAACTATTGATAAAATTTCATTCTGAACACTATTATAGATTGTCATGGTTTTCGAACCACCATTCATTCGGACGGGCGAACCGTTTGGCCCGGAAACCATTCAAGCAACCGATTTTGTTTTATTCCAAACCCGATTTTTGGCCAAAAATTGTTGAATCAGTCAACGACTCCGTTGACCTAGGTAGTTGAATCGTCGACCTATCAACCCGTTCAATGATTTTTGGCCATTTTTTATTTTTAATTACTTTTTATTATTTTTAGTAGTTTTGTCAGAATAGGTTACCCGTTCAAGCCAGATGGTCGAATTATCCACCTGAAAATCGGTGGCCAGAACAATTCCGTTTCTAGGTCGTTTTTTAAAACCATGTAAATTGTAGGTATTTGAAGAAGGAGGTCAATAGAATATATTAGATGTTAGCTAATTTAAGTTTAATTGATGGGTTGAGGTGAGTTATGGATAATATGATGACACAAATGGATAATATGGTGGGCCACTTCACACAAATGTAAAGGATAATATGATGACACAAATATTGCTAAAAGAAGTTGGACAAGGACCCAGTAGTAAATAGACAGATAGTGGATTTAATGAGTTGTTTGGTTATGATGGAATTAACGTTAATGACATTGAGTAGGGTGATGATGTGTTTGGTTGTGTCATATAAGCTGAGACCATTAAAAAAAGTGATCAGATTAGGGTTAACAATGTTGGAGGTATAAGTATGTTAGTATCGACACTGAGATGGATTGCCTAAATAATGGTAGGCGCTTGGCAGGAAGAGTCTCTAGAGGCGGGAAATAACATCCTGAGGGACTCACAAGCAAGACGCGTAATAGCAGTGTAGGTCCTCTATTTATAGTTTACGTAGAGGCCTTTTCTTTTTAGAAAGTTCCTTTTTAGTAGGGGTGAGCAAGAAAAATTAAAAAATGGAATCAGACTGAAAAGTTGACTAAAATCGTTTGATTCGGTTTCAGTTTGGTATTTAAAAAAAAACCGAAGGTATTGGTTAATCAAAATCGAAAACCGGTGGTTAATCGAATCGACCGGTATACATAATATTTATATATATATTTTGTATATTTATGTATATCACATTATAAATTAATAAATATGCGTTATATATAAATGTATATTATAATATATAATATATTATTTTTATTTAAAATATAATATTTTATACATATTTCTAATGTTTTATTATATATTTATATATTTTTCTATAATATATATTGTGAACAATAAAAATTGAAAAACTGGTGATTAACCAAACCGCTCAACCGGTTAACTGATCGACTTCAGTTCGGTTTTGGTTATCGGTTTTCCAAAAATTGGTAACCCTAATTTGGTTTAAAAAATATGCTCACGATTTGGTTAACCGAATCATGAGCATCCCTACTTTTTAGGCTTGCTTTCAGAAGGTTAACCTAATTCATACCATCTGTACTAGTCGGGGTGTTGCCATGTGCCCCTTTAGGGTTTTGGTACTTGGGTTCTCACCCTTCCCAATGCACTAGATTTGGATGTAGACATGTTCTGATGATATGTGATTTGACCAAATATGACTCAAGTATTTGCTATTTGGGAAAGCTTTGTGATGAATTAGGAATAAGTCATAATTTTCAGCTCTAATTATAACCCTTCAGTTGAGAAAAAGAATAAACACTCCAATAAATGGCTAGGACAACGCTCAATGAAAATATTCTTCCTAAATATTGTTGGGTTGAAGACTTAAATGCATCAAGCTATGTTTTAAATAGCGTCCTAATTAATCCAATCTTGAATA